ATCTAGCTCAAGGTGGGAAATGTAGAACTTTTAGAGAGTTCTACATCCTCATAGGTCAAGTATAGCCGTGAGTACCCTTGATTAATTTCAATGGCAGAATAACCAAATTGCTCCTCCAGGACTCTGGGATAGACAGGCGGGGCTTTGTCAGCTGTCTACACAGTGTGAACAAGTTTCCTACACTAATCCACTCCTTTTTTTTGTGTTTTGCTTTTGGAGACAGGTTTCTCTGTATAGCCTTGGCTGTCCGGACTCACTTTTGTAGACCAGGCTGGCCTGGAACTCACAGAGATCAGCCTTCCTCCGCCTCCGGAGTGCTGGGATCACAGGCGTGCATCACTGCTCTATCCACTCCTTTTAATTATCAAGATGATAATCCACGGCTCTATCCACTCCTTTTAATTATCAAGATGATAGCAATCATGGCCTGTGACTAACATACCTGAGAGGAAAATGACACCACATGGCTGATCTTCACAGGCGCCATCAAGCTTCTTTAAGTGCCAGACAGATATGCTTCCTCCTAGGCTATCTTCTGTGACCGCAGAGACACTGCCTATGTTTTGCTCTTGGTAGCTTTTGAGAGAACAAGAATCCTCACATTACTCCTGAGAAAAGAAAAATAACAAAAGTTAACATAAGCTACTCTTTTTTTTTTTTCAAGACAGGGTTTCTCTGTATAGCCCTGGCTATCCTGGAACTCACTTTAGACAAGGCTGGTCTCAAATTCAAAGATCCATCTGCCTCAGCCTTCCAAAGGCTGGGATTAAAGGTGTGTGCCACCACCACGGGGCTCATTCTTGTTCTTTGATAATAAGAATTCTTACAGTTGGCTCACTTCTCAGGGCCACCAGCAGCCTGCAGGGAACAAATCACCTAGAGACGTCCCCCTCCCAACTGTGAGACAGCCTCAAGAAAACAAAGCAGCAAATTAAAAACAATTATTATACTAATGTTGAATTTATAGTTAGGTGGGCTTCCAAGAACATGAATGGTGTCAATTCATCTCTATGTCCCTAGGACACAATAAGGATGGGCAGTAAATGTACAGTAAATACATTATATAATTCTGCCTTGGCGGCTCAATTCATCTTACTAAATTAGCACTCCATCTCCCCAAGCTTAGTGTGGTGTTCCATGCCTATGACCTCCGCATTTGGGGGGCTAGAGCAAGAGAACACAGACTTTAAGGCTAGTCTGTGATAATTAGGTTTAAGGCTAGCCTGGGGTACAGAGCCAGACCCTGATTTAAAATAAAGTATTTTGGGGCCATGAGATGGATCAGCATTGGTTTTCTAACTTCTTTTGTCTTTAAAAAGCTCACAGGAGCCAGGTGTAGTGTCTTCCACTTATTATCCCAACTATGAAGGAGAGTGAGGTTGAAGAGTATGAGGCCAGAGCTGGGTGCAATGACACACACTTCTCATCCCAGCACTCAGGGGCAAGACCAGCCTGGGTGAGTCCAGGGTAGCCAAGGCTACAGAGAAACCCTGTCTCAAAAGAAAATAATAAAATAAAATAAAATAAAAGTTTGAGGCCAGCCTGGGCAACATAGCAAGAACCTATCTAGAAATAAATACAAATTTTGGGGTCCTGGGAAGATGGCGTAGTGATTAAGCGCACTGGTTGTCCTTCCAGAGGACCTGGTTCAATTCCCAACACCCACATGGCAGTTCACAGGCTGCAACACCGTTTTCAGGGCAGCTAACACCCTCACACCAATACACACAGAACAAAAATTAAAAAGAGTAAAAAATATATACAAAGTTTTATCTGGGTAGTGTAGTGGACTTTTTTTGTTTGTGTGGTTTGCTTTTTTTTTTTTTCTTTTTGAGACAGTCCCACTCTGTAGCCCAGGTAAGTACAGAACTTCCTTTGTGGCTCAGGCTGATCTTGAAAACCTGGCAATTCTGCTTCCATCCCGAGTGCTGTGATTATAAGTGTGAGCCACCATCCATAGCTCAGAAAGTTTTTATGAGGGCATTCGGATGTGCTCCCCAGACAGTGATCAATGTCACCTGTTATCGTCCTCTCCTTTCCTTGAGACAGGAGCTCTTGACTCTCACTTAACCTACCTCGAAGACTGGCTAGCAGGGTTTGCCAGTACGTCCCCAGAATCCTCCTGTCTCTACTTCCCAGGGTTGAGATTAACAGGCACCAGCTGCTACTCCTGGTTTGTTGTTTTTTCTTTTTGTTTTTTTTGGAGACAGGGTTTCTCTGTGTAGCCTTGGCTATTTTCGAACTCCCTCTGTAGACCAGGTTCGCCTCAAACTCACAGAGATCCACCTCCCTCTGCCTCTTGAGTGCTGGAATTTAAGGCATGTGACACCATTACCCAGTCTTTTTATTTTTTTGAGACAGGGTCTCCGTCTTGGCTAGCCTAGAACTTGCTATGTAGACCAGACTGGAATCTGCCTCCTGGGTAATGGGATTAAAGGCTTTCACCACTACAAACAGCCTCCTGGTATTTTTATGTAGGTATTGGGGATCTTAACTCCAAATGCACAGCAAATATTTTACTTACTAGGCCATCTGCCCAGACTAAAATTTTAGGCTTTTTGAGACATGGTTTTTCTGTATAGCAGCCCTGGCTGTCCTGGAATTCACTTTGTAAACCAAGCTCGTATCTCGACTGACAAGATCTGCCTGTCCCTGCCTATCAAGTGCAGGGGTTAAAGGCATGCACCACGACATGTGGTCCAGGCTGAAAATGTAAACATGTGCAAAATTTAAGAAAGCAAACGAACTCTTATGGGTTCATCATTCAGGTTCAATAATCCTTTGGTAACAATTTTTTTTTAAATTTACTTATTAAATACTCAACGTTCTGCTCGCATGTATGCCTGCTCGCCAGAAGAGGGAAGTAGATCTCACTACAGATAGTTGTAAGCCACCATGTGGTTGACTGGGAATTAAACTCAGGACCTCTCAAGAGCACCCAGCATTAGCACCCTTAATCTCTGAGCCATCTCTCCAGCCCCAGTAACAAATGTCTTAAAGATATCTGTCAGCCAGGTGTGATGGTGGCACGCCTTTAATCACAGCGCTTGGGAGGCAGAGGCAGGCAGATTTGAGTTTGAGGCCAGCCTGGTCTACAAAGTGAGTTCCAGGACAGCCTGCACTATGTAGAAAAAAAATCTGTCCTGAAAAAACCCAAACCAAAACAAAAGATATCTGAATGTCTTTAGGTGAGGGTCTCTCAAATGATTTATTTATTTACTTATTGAGGTAGGATCTTGCTACATAGCACTGGCTGACCTTGTATCTGTTATGTAACCCAAGCTGGCTAATACTTTCATATTTTCACATTTATTTATTTTGTGTGTGGTAGATGGGTATATACTTGCACAAGTCAGATTTTCTCCTTGCATCATGTGAGTCTTGCAGATTGAAGCCAGAGAGGGTGTCAGATCTCCTGGAACTGGAGTTACAAACAATTGTGAACTGTCAGGTGGGTCTCCTTAATCTTTGAGCCACCTCTCCAGCCCCACACTGAGCCATCTTGCTGGCCCTTAAGAAACTGTTTTTGAGATGAAGGACTTACTATGCTGTTCGGCCCACTCTAAACTCCAGATACCTCTGCCTCCGAGATGTTGGGGTCTCAGGCAGGGGCCATCATGCTTATGCCACGGTTGTCTTGGACTCCTAGGATCAAATAGTTTCGCCTCAGCCTCAAGAGTAGTATATACCATCAGACCTGACTCTCTCTTTAAATACTCTACTTACGTTTCTTACCTGAATATATGAGTCCATGAATCCTAATACATTCTTGGCCATAATGGCTTTCTAATCTAGTCATCACTCAGGTTTTGTTCCTATCTCCTCATGTTATTGCTCCTACTTGAAATACTTGCTCTCTTTATAACCTGTTTATTTTGATGTTCAAATCTCAGTATCAATCTCTGTCTCTCTCTCTCTTACACACACACACACACACACACACACACAGAGAGAGAGAGAGAGAGAGAGAGAGAGAGAGAGAGAGAGAAAGACCGTAACCACTTCAAAGTAACAGCTCCATCCTGCCAATTCTCGCTTGGTATTTAACAAAGTCCTTTTCATGTAACAACTATATAGTTATCTTTTGGAAAGACTGTGAGCTCCTGGAGAGCGGGATTTTTGTTTAACTCGTTCTTACATATCTAACGTCAGAGGAAGAAACACATAGACGATTAGCTAAATTATCTGCAGCTCTTGGGGGTCCCTTCAGGTTCTTCAGCTCTCCGTCCGAGGCTTCGGACCACGGAACGGGTTGCTCTGCTCATTTTCTTGTTGGCCACCCTCCTCCCTTTCAGCGACTCCTCTCCAATCGACAAACCTCAATGCCTCTCACCCGCGTCCGTGAACTTTTAAGAAGTCGAGGCAGCCTCAGCCACGGGGTTCCAATCTTATTCTCCCGCCAATTCAGTCCCGAGGTCTCCGCCTCCTGGCCCCGGTGCCACCCTGAGGCTCAGGAATGCGTTCTGGGTCCTAAAGAAGCCGCTATTTCTGAAATGGTGACTTCCACCCAGGCAAAACAGCAGATAATACATCTAAAAAAAACAAAACCCCAAAACCCACAAAACAAACAAACAAACGCAGTGTGCCTGAGTTTTTATGTATATTTTTATTCTCCACTGTCCTCCCGTACAAAGTGTAATTTACACTTCCGGGTTGGCCTCGGTGCAGCATGGGAAATGTAGTTCTCGGTGCACACGCGTCTCTACCCGTAGCCTAAGCTAGGGAGTGTGGCGAAATTTGCGCATTCGGGGACTCTCCCTTTTCCTCTCCACAGTGAGGACTGGTGGGAAATTTACGCCAAAATAGCACAAGAGCGAGTTTTCGTTCTCCGAAAGCGCTTTCCTGCTGAAGCTTGGCAGTCCTCGAGGGTCGTCCCTCCTTAACGCCGAAAGAGCAGGTAGACGCTCTCCCGGCTCCCCGCGGGCATCTATCTGCCTGTCTGCCGCTCCGCCCAGTCCCCGCCTCCGATTGGCTACGAGCGCCTGAGCGGCGGAAGCAGCTGGCTCGCGGGCAGCCCGGGTGGGGGCCGGCCGCGAAGATGGCGGCAGTGGTGGAGGTGGAGGTTGGAGGAGGTGCTGTTGCGGAAAGGGAGCTGGATGAGGTAAGCGGGATGGAGAGACGAGAGAGGACAGGCAGCTTGAAAGTGGAAGGAGAGCGAGGGAGGGAGGGGGGCCGAGGTCCTAGGAGAGACGGGGAAGGTCCTGAGGAAAGGGAGCTGACCGGGAGGCTGGCTTTCCGTGGGGGAAATCTGGGGCTTCAGGCTCGGGGACCCCGAGACATTCCTGGTGCAGTAGATTGGCAGTAGCTTTCAGGGTGGTGGTGGAGGGCAGGGCAGAGGCCGGAGGGATGGGGACGTTAAAGATTTTGAGATTATTAGATACAGGTCCAAGGTAGGTAGGGCTCAGGGGCTAGCTGAGAGGTAGCATTAATGGCAGGGGCGTGGACTTCCGTGAGGGAAGGCCGAGGCTTTCAGCGTGGGGAAGGACTGCGAGCTTGACGTGGAAGTTGGGGACGCAGACCGGGAAACAATGCTGTTATGCTAGTATTACAGCTTTAAACTATTTTTAGGTAGGGACCATTTTATTCTTGTATTCTAGGGTTTGTGCATACCGCATGCTCAGTAAAGTTTTGGTCAACGAATGAATGAATAATTGTGAATGAATGAATGAATGAATAATTGTGTAACAGAACCAGTACGTTTGCTCACTGAACAGACATTGTCACTTCTGTAACAATTCCTGTGCTAACTGCTTGGAACACAATACTTTCCCCTGTGTAGTCATGGGTTAAGAGGCATGGCCTTGTAAGTATGGTGGTGGTTCTGGGACGAGGGCTACGGAGAGTTTTCCAGTTGTTGAAGGATTTTCTACTTCATGTTCATTCTCGTTCTCTTTCATCCTCTCTCCCCGTCTCTCACGGGTTCCTTCAAGGTGAACTTGAAAAGGTGTAAACCCTTTATCTAATAGCCATTTAACAGTTGAGATATTGAATTACTAGGGTTTCTTGGGCTTGAAAGGAATGAAAGAACAGGGTTTTGAAAGAGTGAAGGTGAGAAAGATAAGGGGCAATCTGAGGCCAAATGCTCAGTGATACTTGAGAGTTGTTTTGTGGTGTGATCGCATATGGATAGAGATAACACAGGAGGGAGGGTGGTGATTGTCAGGGAGGGAAGTAGTGTCTTAGGCTCTGGAGAGTCAGGGTTTTTGAGGGCTCTTGCTCTGGGTTTGGTATGGGATAGCTTGGTGAAGAGTCTCGGGGAGTAGGTTCAGGAAGAATTGATAGTTACTTGGTATGGTATGAGGATAATTTGTTTTTATTTTCCCCTTCTGGGTGGAATTGATAAGAGGAAAGCACAAGACTAATAGGTAACAGGTGGCCTCGTTCTTACCTGCAGCTGCTGGCGACTAAAGCTATTTGACTAAAGCTTCACCTTTCCTTGGTTGGAAAGGTGAAGTGGTTGTACAAATAACTCCCAGGCTCCGTCTAGTTTTAGGTTTCTGTGTTCACAGTTGGCAGCTAGTAACTGAGGTATTTTGAAAGCACCTTAAAATTGTAACTAGTGTACTGAAATTAAAATTCATGGTTTGTTGGTCATGGCTCTTCAGTGAGATAGTTTCTTATGTCTTAACTTTTTAAAGACAGGCTCTTGATATGTGCCCCATGATGTCCCTGAACTCTCCCTCTCTCCCTCTCTCTCGTGAGTGCTGGAATTACATGTGTGTACCACTCATGCCTGGCTAATTTTTGACTTTTTTTTTTTTTTTTTTAGTGCTTTAAGGATTTAAGTACTACTAGGAAGATGATACATATTTCAGTGTTAGGTCTGAGGTCAACCATTAGCATCTGTCCCAGAACCCTCGCTGCTTGTTATTTCCAAGAAAGAATATGTCCTTGTTGTCAGGAAAATCTTTGTGAATCGCTTCTATCCTTTTCCTTCTGGTTTAAGAAAGTAACTTGAGAAGCAGGATGTTATCTTGACACTCCAGGAGGAAGGAGGTCTGAACGGACAGGCCTCAGCCTGTGTGTCTTCTTACTGACATCATTCCTGCTGTTTGTGCTCAAGCTTTCGCTAGTGAATGACAAGGTGACCTACACATCATTAATATGTAACTGCGGGGACTTACTGTGTGTCATGCCTTGGGAAGTCAAAGGTGAGTAAGACAGGGTCTTTACCAGTTTACAGTCCAGTGTGTAGATGTGCAGATAGACTACTACAAAGCTACTACTTAAGTTTTGGAATGAAAGTATGTGACAAGGAAGGCACAAGCTGATTAGGGGATGTCACGATGGAGATGGAAGTGAGCTCAAAAACTAAAGGTTGAACCTACAAAAAAAAAAAAAAAAAAAAAAAAAAAAGGCTGTGAGTTTCCTGTAGATCAGAGTTGCTTTCATGTTGCGTTTCCTGTGTGACTGACAGACCTTACACCTTCCTCTGGAGTCCAGTTTGGAAAAAAATAATGAGGAGCCTGGTTAAGATGGGATGCCGTTTTCTGCCCTGGAAAGGAGGCACAAGCTGTGATTCTTCCTTCAGAATATTATGCCTGTATTTTCCAAAATCAGATGTCATTAGTACACACATAGTCTGGAAGAGCAGTTTGACCTTTTTGTCTGCCTTTATTATTACTTTCTGTAGAAGCTGAGAAGCAGTTTAGGCATTGCTTATAGCCTCTTCTGCCTTGGAGAGGAGGGTAGAAAGATGGGCTTAGGGTAGAACTACTGGCAGAAATGGACACTGCTATCAAGTCTTTAAGTCTGTTGCCATTTAAAGTTCTCTACCTTTATTATCTCATTTATTACTTACAATAGCCCTCTGAGTTTAGATGCTATACTAATGCCACTTTATCTTTTCTTTAAAAAGGATTGATTTTAATTTATGTGTATGTGTGCATGCATATAAGTGCTGGTATTTGTGGGGTCCAGAAAAGGGCTTCAGATTCCTTAGAGCTGGAGTAATAGAGAATTGTAAACTACCAGCATGGGTTCCGGTCCTATGCAAGAGCAATATGTGCTCTTAACCACTGAGCTATCTTTGCAACACTAGCCCTATTTTTAAATTTTCTTTTGAGACAAGGTCTTGATAGGTTTCCCAGGCTGGCCTTGAACTCAGGAGCCTCTTGTCTCAGTTCCCAGGCAGCTAGGATTACAAGCATGCACATCATGCCTGGCAAACTGCCCCTTTTAAATACTTGAAGCAAGACCTCAAAGCATTGTTTCTTTGCTGAGAGAATCAAAGTGAAGGTTAACCAAAAGAGTGTTGTTGTTTTTCATATATAAGTCCTTTGACTTATAGATAACTTGATCTTGTCAAATTCTTGCTCATAAAGTATGGTTATTGCTGCAAGTGAATAATTTTACATGTGCTGGGCCCTATTTTCTATCTTTTTGTCTGTCTGTCTATCTATCTTGAAACAGACTCTCAGGTAGACCAGGCTGGCCCCAAACTCACTATTTGCCTGAGGATGATCTTGAACTTTTGGTGCTCTTACATACTGAAAACCTTTCTAGGTCTAACCTGTCCTGTAGGGGTCTAGCCAAGGCTTTCTTGGCTGCTAGGACTTTATGAATTATCCTGGAGACTTTACCCCCGTCTTTGTTTCTTTTTGTGTTATTAAGACAGGCCCCTCTATGTACTGCATACTGCCCTGGAACCTTCTTCCTCAGCTTCTGGGGTGCTGAGATTACAGGCATGTACTGTGCCATATGCAGCGTCGCCCTGCTTTTAGTCCTGCTCCTACGTTTGCTCTTTACTTTATCAATTTACTCATCAAATCTTTTTGGCTTTTTGAGACAGGATCTTGGTATGAAGCCCTGGATGCATTAAACTTGACATGTAGACTAAACTGAACTTGAACTTTGACCTCTGCCTCTGAATGCTGGGATAACAGATGTCACCATGCTCAGCTTATCCATCAGATTTCTGTGCTAGTCACTCTTCTGTGCCTCGTGATAGAATGGATGAAATATGATAATGTCTACAAGCAGTTGATAGTCTAGGGCGGGTTTAAAGACTGATAAGGAAGAACATGTCACAGTTGCAGTGACTGTGGAGTAGGTGTAGTTGATGAGGAAGTGGCCACATCATAGCTGCTCTTCCCAGCGACTTTGGTAAAATCCACAAACCCAGTCTGAAATGATTCTTTTCTCTTGCTTTTTTAAAGTAGGGGTTGCTATTTTGTTTTTGTTTTCCTCCTGTGGGTCTCTCCCTGTAGACATTTGATAAGTGTGCCTTGTTTCCAGGGATCTGTTTCTCTGGGGATTCTTGGTCCAAGTTAGATTTTATGGAGGAATTGAGGCATGTGTGACTTAAGTTTAATCTTGGATGTCTAGCTGTCTTCAGAATTTCTTTTTTTGTTTGTTTGTTTGTTTGGTTTTTCAAGACAAGGTTTCTCTGTGTAGCCTTGGCTCTCCTGGAACTTACTCTGTAGACCAGGCTGGCCTCAAACTCAGAGAGCCGCCTGCCTCTGCTGGGATGAAAGGCGTGTCCCCCCACCACCCGGCCATGGAATATCTTGTGCATGTGAAATGAATAAGAAACCCAAAAGAGGAGTAAGCAGCAGACCCAGATTTTAGAGTAAGAAGAGATGTGTTTTATTCATAAATAGCCAGCTGATACAGATGGGTAGAAAACTCTAAAACTCTATAAAGGAGGATTCTGAAGTTCAAGCACAGCAGAAAGAGCCCCAAGGGAAGATGCTGAAAGCAAAAGAATACAGAGAACTTTCTCTGGGCCAAATATTTTAAACATTTTCTAATACCTCAGCTTTACAGGATAGGTGTGTTATTATTATCTCTATTTTATAGATTTGGAAACCAAGGCATAGATAGTTTAAGAGAGTAACCTGGCATCAGGCACACAGGTAAATGACAGAGCTGGTCTTCAGAGCTCAGGCCACTGCAGCGTCTGTGCCCTGAACTCCTCTGGGCAGTATGAGTGCAGTCTACTTCCTGCCCTGTACTTCCAGGGTTCCCGCAGTGTCAATATGGAGCTCATTTCCACAGCTGACTTTTCGGTGGTTGTGCTTTTCGTCAGTTTCTCCTTGAAAGTCCTATTTGGTATCTGGCATAGGGTTCAATAAATGGCTAAATGAGCTTAGATTTCAA